CCGCTTCGGCGGCGGCGGCGGTGGCGGCATATTGCCCCACTTGCCCTGTGCCGCGGCGGGCTCTGCGGCATCCTCGCCGGACGCGGGCCTCGCTGCCAGCGGCGGCTGCGGGGGCAGATCAGCCAGGGCGACCGCCTCGGGGGGCGGAGCAGAGCGCGCCGCTGCTGGAGGCTGCTCTGAGGAGGGCTCCGCCGCAGGAGTCTGCTGCGAAGAGTGCTCAGCTGATGCCGTCATCTCCGACGCTGGCTGCTGAGGGGCGGGCTCCGCTGATGGTAGCTGCGCAAGGGTTGGCCCCTCGCCCTTCGGTGCCAACAGAGGGGCCTCGTCGCTGTCGAACTCCGTGGGCGAGGGCTCCGCTGGCTTCGCGACTGCTCCGCTGGCGCTGCTCTCCGCGGGCTGCGGCGCCGCGGCCTCCTCGAGCTTGCCCATGCGCTTGTCGACCAAGGCTTTCAGCACCATCGGGAGGAGCGCCTCGCTGCTGACAGAGGGGAACATAGCCATCATGTTCTTCATGATGTCAGAGGCGTCCGTGCTGGTGGCGGCGGTGGCATCGGCGCCCGTGCTGGCGGCGGCGCCCGCGCCGCTGGCATCGGCTGGTGGCGGCGGTGGCGGCGCCTGCTGCTGCGACTTCTGGAGCTGCTCGTCAGAGGCGTCAGAGGCGTCCGTGCTGGTGGCGGCGGTGGCGGCGCCTGCTGCTGCGACTTCTGGAGCTGCTGGCGGCGGCGGTGGAGGCAAGCCCGCTGCGTCCGACTGCTGTGGCGGCGCCTGCTGCTGCGACTTCTGGAGCTGCGGGTCGGCTGGGGACAGGCCCGCTGCGTCCGACGGCGGTGGCGGCGCCTGATGCATGAGCCTGCGATGCTTGTCTTCGAGCCTGAGTAGGCTTGCCTCTCTGTCTTCACACCACCTCTTCCTTTGGGCCTGGACCTCGCCGTCTGTGACCATCATCGTTTCTCCTGGGGGGAGATCGAGGTCCTGCGAGAGCTCGAACGTCTGAGCGGGCTCCTCACCATCACCCAAAACTCCGACATGCTCAACTTTCGTTCCATCAGGCTTGACTCCTCCCCACTTGCCGCAAGGCCTCCGCTCGGACTCGACGATGCACTCTGGGTCGCCAGTGTAGTGCTGGTCCGAGCCGCACTCCTCGCAGAAGAGCACACCAACCGAGCGCACCGCCATCGCAGTTCCCTCTGGACTTTCGAATGCGAGGTGCCGAGAGAACGACCGCTCGAAGGCGAGGTGGTTCGAGCCAGCACTGCTTGCGGGTGGGATTGGGGCGTGAGAAAAGACGTGCTGGTTTCACACGAGATCGAAGGTCCGCCATCGAACAGCTGTCCTATGACGGGCCTTCGGTATCGTTTGAATTAGTTCGCTCGAATGCGTCTGCTGTCGGCGGTGACAACGTGGGCCTACCGCCTCTCAAGAGAATGGTGGTGGTGGTGGTGGCGGTGTGTGTGTGTGTGGGTGTGTGTGTGTGTGCGTGTGTGTGTGTGTACACACACGTGTGTGTGTGTGTGTGCGTGTGTGTGTGTGTGTGGTGTGTGTGTGTGTGTGTGGTGTGTGTGTGGGTGTGTGTGTGTGTTTGTGGTGTGTGTGGTGTGGTGTGTGTGTGGTGTGGTGCGTGCGTGGCGTGTGGCGCGTGCGCGTGCGTGCGCTCGCGCGTGCGTGCGCGCGCGCGGGGGAAGGGGGGGGTGAAGGGGGAGGGGGGGGGGGTGGGGGGGGGGGGGTGGGGGGGGGGGGGGGGGGGGGGGGGGGGGGGGGGGGGGGGGTGGGGGGGGGGGGGGGGGGGGGGGGAACGGCGGGGCTAGCAGCTCTCGCTGACAAGGAGTGCTGGTGCAGATGGCATTGGGGCAACAGTGCTACCCTGGTAGCAGCTCTCGCTGACAAGGAGTGCTGGTACAGAGGGGGCCCCCTCTGTACCAACAACGACATCACTATGGGCATCAGAACGGGTGAACGAGCGAGGCTCGTAACATGGGCGCAGCCTTTAACCCTGCGATGCCAAGTCTGCGAGCTGCTCTTCCGAATGTCTTCTTTTCACAGACAGAAAAGGCACGCGAGCGCACTCCTGCGACAGCTCCCTGGCTGATCGACGCGCCGCGGGCTCGCGTGCTGCGAGGCGGGGCGAAACGCTTCGGTGGCCTCGAAGTCGAAGCTCGATGTCTGCAGACGGTCGAAGGTCGATCGAAGCAAAGCCATTCCGAATAGTGCGGGCTGGGATTTCGAGCTGCTACCGAAGCTTGAACGCGCGGCAATCTCGCGGCCACCTTTACCGACTAAACCAGACATGGCCCGAGCCACAATGCCGACACAGTCCTGAATTGAAAACGAATTCGTGCACGCGAAACTTCCCCGAATCGAAGTGGCCCGACTTGCGCAGTAACGCTCGATCGATTATAAATAAAACACTCATCCTCTGTGCCTCGTATGCTTGCCACGCGAGAGAGGGATGACGAGAGAGAGATCTCTCTCGCGTTATCCTTCTCTCGCTCTCTCGCCCCCTCTTGCTCTCTACATTTTTCGCTATATATCTTTATTGTGTGTGTTGTTGTTTTTCTTTCTCTCCCTCTACCTCTCCATGTCTCTCTATTTCATTATCCACCGAGGGGGGGATCTCTCCTCCCCCTACCCCCCTGCCTCTCTCCCCCCCCCCCTCTCCGTTACCTATATCCTTCTTCCCTTCGACAGAAGTGTCGCGACATTTCAGTCGAAGGCGCGCCGTATCCCTCCCTCTCTCCGCATTGCCTCCGAACGAGCAGGCCGCTCACCAGAGCCAGTCGGCTAAGCTGGGGATCTCGCCGAAGTTCGGCGCCCTGTCCGAGCTGCTCGCCGCGCCTGAGGCAGGCGCGGGGGCCGCCATGAGCTCACTCTCGCTTGTTCGCCTCTCTTCTCTCTCAACCGTTCTCACTCCCGCGTCGCGAATGTCGGTCCTGCTCGGTTCCCTTACGCTCCCACCTCGACCCTTCCTGTCAGTCTCCGCGCACTCGTCTTCGTCGTCACCCTACTCCTTCGCTTCGTTGGTCAACTCCTCCTGCCGCGAGCTCCCCCCCCCACCCCCCCTCTTCCCCCTCCCACTCCTGCCCTCTCCTCCGGCCTCCCCACCTCCTCCCTCCAGAGCTCCCTTCCACTCTTCTCCCCCCCTCGCCTCTTCCGCAATCTCCCCGAGGGTGCGCCTGGTGAAGGCTCGAATTTCTTCTCCGCCGTCTCCTCCTTGGTGCTCTTCTGCCCCCTGTTCGTGCCCCTGTCATCCTGGATGATCGCCTTGTCCTCCTCGTCGGCCTGCGCTCGAGCGGACCGCCGGGCAAGAGGGTGACGACGGAAGGGGGGGGGGGGGTGGGAAGGGGGGGTGGGGGGGGGGGGCGGAGACTGCGGGCGCAGGTGCGGCCTGGCACAGGCTGAGGTTGAGACGATGGAAGCAGAGGCGGCGTGGCGCAGAGGAGGGTCGGGTGGAGATGGCATGGGGTGGTTGGGCACAGAGTGAGGTGGGGGGAATAGCATGGGCCTTCTTCTCGGGCGTCGCGTTCTCCTTGGGCGTCGCCTTCTTCTTGGGCGAAGCCTTCGCCTTGGGCGTGGCCGTCTTCTTGGGCGAAGCCTTCCCCTTGGGCGTCGCCTGGCGGCAACATATCTGCGCCCCTGCGATCTGCTGCCTGTTTATAATCGACAGCAGGTCCCATGGGTGCAGATAAGTCTAGGTCTGCTGTCTGCTCCGCGCCTCCGCCTCCTACCGACCCCCCGCCCCCCCCCCCCCCCACCCGCTCTCTCATCCTCACTCCTCCCTCTGAAGTCCCAACTCACACGCTGCTCTCATCATCGTCATCCTGCTCCTGCTCCTCCTCCTGATGCTCCTCCTCCTGCCCCTGATCCTCCTCGCCCCACCTGACCATGCCCCCTTCTGTCCCCCTTCTCCTCCTCCTCCTCCTCCTCCTCCTTCTCCTCTTCGTTCGCTCATCCACCTTATCTTGTACTCCGACCTAGGCTACATCCATATCGTGCTACTCATTCCCCTTCTTGCCTCCCTCGGCTCCCTTCTTGCCACCCTCGCCTGTCGGGAACTGTAGGTCACCCTCGCCCCGCCCCCTCCCGCCCCTATCTTCAGCCCACGCCGACCTCTCCCCCCCCCGCTCGCCCCTCGCTCCTCCATCCCAGCCGACACGAAAGGTCCCGAGCCTTCTTGTCGGGCTCAGCCTCGTCGACGATCGCGTCGGCGTTGCCCTTCTTGCGCGCCTCGGTCGGGGCAGCATGGGAGGCGCCCCCCTTCCTTCTCCTCTCCCCCCCATCCTCATCATCCCCCTTGGAGGGCGATGAGGATGAGAGCGCCCCCTCTTTTCCTCCCACCGCCTCTCCCTGCTACCCCCTCCCTCCCCTCCCTGCTCCTCCCCCCTCCTGTCACTCCCCCACCCCTCCTCCTCTTCCACTTCTCCCTCCTCCACTGCCTTCTCTCCCTCCTCCTCTTCCACCTCTCCTCTCTTCGCCCTCCGACCCCTCCCGTCCTCCTCTTCCTCCTCTCCCCTCCGCAGCCCCTCCCCCCCCCTCCGCAGCCCCTCCTGAAAAGGGCATGGATGGCAATTGCACGGAAGAAAGGTGGTGGAGAAAGGGGCTGGGCAGGCGAAGACGAGAGCGCCTTGGCGGGCTTCTCCGTCGCCGACAGGCAACCCAAAGGCCGTTTCCGCGCTGGCTCCTCGTCCTCCTCGCGCTGCTTCTCGGCCCCCTCGTCCTCTTCCTCTTCGTCTTCCTCCTCGCGCGGCTTCTCGGCCCCCTCGTCCTCTTCCTCCTCGCGCGGCTTCTCCGCCTCCTCGGGCGTGCATGATGAGTTGGAGCCGCTGTCGTCGTCATCCTCTTTCTCCCTGCTCATGATGTCATCGGCGGCATCCGAAGAATCGCTTTTCTTGTCCGAGCCATCGTCATCATCGGCCTTCATTTTTTTCAAGGACGCCCGTTTCTCTGACGCGGCTGGCCTCTTCATCGCGGTGCCCTCATCGGCCTTCATTTTTTTTCAAGGACGC